ATGCCTGCTGTGGAGAGAGAGTGGTAGACACAGGTGGATGATGAGGGTCAGGAACTGAAGGATATTTAACAGACGAAAGAACTCTCAGGTGAGCCACCGTGTCTTAGTCCAACGCTTGAAGAATGGTCCTATGGGAAAGGGAATCAATCAACTTACTTTAAGGCACCAAATTCGTACCAGTAAGTGAAATCACAGAGTCTATACGATGAAGAACTTTTAACTAATCGGAAAAATCCAAAGGGACATATTCTCTCGAGAGGGACAGTTATCCCCAGGACTTAGAAGTGCCCAAGCAGGGAGTATGGATATCTTAGAACGGATTCCAGTAGGTGTGGGAAGTCAGGATAAATGATTGCGTGGGAATCCTACAACATGCCACCCAACCTCAAACAATGACAATCACTACCTTCCAAAGTAGGGTTCTTTGTATTGAAATAAGCATGAAGAAAAACATCTACTTATTTCAGGTAAACATATTTAATATTTCCACAGAAAATTCCATCCCAGTTTGAAGCCGTGTCTTCTCCCCGTGAATGCCCATTAAAAGACACTTTTAATTGGAAATAAAAACAAATCGAAATTGGCACATCCCTTTTCAAAATCCCGGAAGTCAGGATCCTAACGTGCGGCTGTGGATATACTGGAACTAACAGTCCTCACCAAAAAGAAACTTATCAAGAGCCCGCGTGCCATCCATTTGAAGCCAATTGGTTGCCCTGGAAGGTTAGGTCTATGATCAGTTCTTGTCCCATCAGCCATCCGCATGTTTGCCACCGAGTGAAGGAGACGAGGAGAAAAATCACACGAGGCAGAGATGAAAGCTGTGCAAGCGGGAAGAGAAAAGCCTTCTTGATTAAGCGGCGGGCCTCCTGAAGTCTTTAATTCTGCCTCTCGCCCGGCTCCGCGCCGGCACGTGGGACGCAGCACAGATGGATGGCGATGCTCGTCAGGAGGAGCGCACTCATACATCTTGTGGCTGGATTTTTTTATTTGTCAGCTCAAGAGGAGCAGGGAGATTTATCTGGAAGGGTGGCAGTGGAGGTGGGGAGGCGCTGGTTAGACTGCAGTTTCCTTTACCAATACGTTATTCTCACTTTTTGTCTCTTCTTGCTGCTGCACCGCTCTCTTTAGTTCTACTTCTTTTTCTTTAAAAGGAGGGATATGTTGGGATAATAAGCCAGTGGCTCGACAGAGGGTGGTAGAGAACATACGGGAACAGCACGTCTAGATGTAATGTCTGCTGGGATTCTTCAAATGTTTTAATCACAGTCTGCATTGCCATTATGCACAGACACGTTCGCTTAAGCACAATGATATACTATTTGAAATAATTGTTTTCTTTACCCTGAAATGAGATTTCATGTTTCCTTTCTTGCTGTCTTTCTTTTGCTCTGCCTCGCGAGAATGAAATAATTCACTACGATGAAAAAATTTTTTTTCTTCCCGTCTAAGAGGGGCACACAGAAACAGGCTAGGTCTGCTGGGCCTTAGAAAATACAGCAAAAGACATCGCCACACTGATCTGAGCCAAAGGGTGGAATCAGTCACTAAAAGGATGGAATTGGTAGCTTCTTGGTTCCCAGAATGCTGTTTCTAGCCAAGGAGACAAAGGTGAGGGCCCCGAGGACCACTAACAAGACCAGGACCCCCGGGGCGTCATTGGAATGCGACCACTAATCCCCTGAGCTGAAGACTCGCTAGACCCGAGTCCAACCCCAATTTTGCTATTTGCCATAGGACATTGGTTGAGTTACTTGTCTTAGTTGCCTCATCTGAATATGGGGGAAGTAAATTCCAAACTCACATGACTCTAGAAACATTAATTAGAATAATTATGAACTATACCAGGCAAATAATGTTTGAAGAAGAGGATATATATATATATATATATATATATATATATATATATATATATATGACTCAGCCATAAAAAATAAAATCTTGCCACTTGCAACAACCTGAATGGACCTAGAGGGCATTATACTGAGTGAAGTAAGTCAGAGAAAGGCAAACACTGTACATGTGGAATCTAAAATACAAAACAAATGAACAGACAGACAGTTTCCGACAGAACGGACTGATGGGAGTGGGGGAATGGGCGAAACAGGTGGACAGATTAAGAGGCACAAACTTCTACTGCTTTTCGGGCATCACTAGGATCTTAGACAAATTGCACATACAATTTTGTGATGTTGTTAATATCTCACTTTGTGCCTAAAAGGGTTTGAGCCATTTTATAATGGAAAACATTACAGGAAAGGTAAATCAGGGCAACATTAAAAGGAGAAAAAATGGGATGGAAGAACAGCATATAGAATAGACAGCATATAGGGTTGGGAGAGGGACCAAAGCAAAAAGGGGGCACAATTGATAACAAGACTGATAATGCCCCTGAGATAAGAATACAACCTTGACTTTACAACCAAAATGATATAGTGCTGAAGCCAGGATAATGACTCAAATATTTACAGATATAAAAGATCATTTCACCGAAGGAGCAGTGGTCATAACCTAACTTCAGGATCCACCAACATAGCGCACGCCAACGTCTGTATGCAGAGTCATATGCGACATAAGTCAGTGAGACTCGTTAAAGTAACATTCCACCGTGGTGCGCGTTCAAATGAGCAAGGTGCCTTTACAGGCGGTATGTCAGGTACCTGCTATTCAGTAGCTTTTATTTCTTGAGACGTTTTTGGCACTTTAACCTTTATTCAATGGATATTTTACTCGGCTGAGAGTTGGACAAAACTCATTTATCCAAAACAAAAGAAAAAGAGCAGAGCAAAGAAGTCAGGTGCCGCTCACCATTCCTCTTGCTTTGGAATTTCTGGGGACGCGTAACTCCTGTGCACTGAGCCTCGGCAGTAACTTCTGAACGCATAGCGAAAGCTGCTTTAAAATATTGAGAGCACTGCAGAAGCATTAGGGTAAGATTCTACTGTCCTGAGATTATTATTGTAAAAGAATAAGAATCATAGATTGCTTTGCTATAAGGTATTGCAGCCTCTATAAAAAAAATAACAATGACTTAGGAAGAGAGACACTAGGCTTAGTAGAGTTAGGAAGCATTAGAATCAGAGGCCAGGTTACATGCTCCCCATGCCCCGCAAATGTCGCCTCGGTCTTTCCTTCCATTCCTTGTTTCCAGAGTAAATGGAGTTTGAGGGTCGAATTGTCAGGTGTGCTGCAGTCAGCACATGATGCTTCAAAGGGGTCTGCTCTGTTCTGGACCCAGCTGTTCCCACTAACTTCTTACACTTTATGATATAAAATAGTCCTCTATCCTCTTCTGTTATTTTATGTAATACTCAGTATAACACTTTTGTGTTCTGTGTCCCTTACCCCAAATGCCAGAAAGTTCCTATTTGCAATAAACGTTGTCTTATTTAGAAAAGCATTTGCTTCTTTATTGGACTTTTCTATAAACCCATACTTACCACCACTCCCACCATTTCTACCAAATTTGGCTCTAAAGGAATGTCAACTGTTTTTTAAAAAAGGAGCATTAAAGATGTTTTAAAAATCAACCCTTTTCATATATAGCTTCACAAATTACAACCCCTTGCATAAGAACTCATTATATCAGACAGTTTTTAGAAGGACTTTATTTATTTATTTGCAGAGAGCAGGGAAGGGAGGGAGGAAGACAGGGAGAGAAACATCCATCAGTTGCCTTTCCACACGTGCCCCAGCCGGGGGCAGAACCTGCAACTCAGGCCTGTGCCCTGACTGGGAATCGAACTGGTGACCTGTCGCTTTGCAGAATGATGCCCAACCAGCTGAGCCACACTGGTCAGGGCACGTCAAACAGTTTTTTAGATGTTCTAGTTCAGATTGACAAGGGCATGACTATAGATGGAATCACAGAACCGGGCCTGTAGCTTTGCAGTGGGCTGTGTTCAGACTGTAATTCCAGATCATTGTCTTACAAGTTTATGCTAAGGTCAGAATTATCAAATATTTACCCAGCATCAACAAAACCCCTGGAAATCGCTCACTGTCACGCAACGGGCACGCTCTAGAACTGCCCAGTCAAATCCGTCACAGGCTTGTTTTTCCTTCCGAAACCACTTCTAAGCGAACACACTGAGCGAGGTGCCAGCCTGGCCACCGGGCCACCTCCCCGCGCCCTGCAGCAGAGCCCTGGGCCCGTCTTCCCCACTTGAGAGCGCCCGTGTTCCTGCTCCCGCACCCACTGGCCCACGTCTGGGTGTCTCCAGTTCAGTGTCCCGAGGGGGGTTCCAGTTGGTCTGATGAGTTGCTGCTGCTCTTGGGACAAAGCTCCGCACCATTCGTACTTCAAACCATCCATGCCTATGCGCTGGCTGTCCTCAGCTTTGTACCCAGCACTGGCCTCACCGTGCGCGACTAGGATGGTGGGGTCAGAATGGAGCCACTTTGGGGGAACCGTTTGTATGCACTTTAGGTCGCCGGGGGCCGCGGTGGTGACAGCTGTTCTCAGAGGTAAAAAAAATCCACTACTCACACACGATATGAAACTAGCCGTCCGTAAAATATTATAGTTTATTGAATCATAAGAAGTATGGTTTAAGTGTATTTTCTATAGGATCTTCATGTGTATTTTCCTTTTAGAACTGTAGAGTTTTTGAATGAACCACAGATTGTGCCCATTTCTTCTTTGAACAGAGGAGAGAGGGGGAGGGGGAGAGAGGAGAGAGGGAGGGGGAGAGAGAGAGGAGAGAGGGAAGAGAGTAGAGAGAGGGAGGGAGGGAGGGAGGAGAGGGGAGAGAGAGGAGAGAGCAGAGAGAGGGAGAGAGAGGAGAGGGGAGAGGAGGAGAGTGGAGAGACAGGAGAGGGGAGAGGAGGGGAGTGGAGAGAGTGGGGGGGGAGAGAGAGGAGAGAGGGAAGAGAGTAGAGAGAGGGAGGGAGAGAGGAGAGGGGAGAGGAGGGAGAGAGAGAGAGGAGAGAGAGAGGAGAGAGCAGAGAGAGCAGAGAGAGAGGAGAGAGAGGGAAGGAGGAGAGGCAGAGAGAGGGAGGGGAGGGGCTTCAGAGGCTGAGACACTGGTATCTTGGTTGCTCAGCCAGGCAGGGGTCTTCTACTCCATAATCACTTCACACCTTAACCTCATTTTTACATTTTGTCTTCTTTTATTTTCTAAAAACAAAACAGTAAAGTGAGAGAAGATATTTTCGAAAGACCAGACACTAAAATGAGAAAAGAAAAACAGCCCAAGAACAGAGAGTTCTCAAACCAGCCTCCTTTAGAGTTAGCTCAGAAGAAAGTCTTGGGGGGGGCGCGCCCCATCTGACCCCTGTTCTGGCCCTACCGGAACCACCCCTCCCCCACCCAACCCATCCCTGAGCTGTCCACACCCCTGCGGGTCCTGATGAACGACGCGTGTGCGGGTGCATGGACACACGGTGTCCAGCCAGTGGCCTGAGTCCGGGAGAGACACTGGGACCGGGCATCTTTCCCCAGGCCCCGGGGCCGTTAGGTCCTCTTCATGCAGCCGGCAGTTTCACCGAGAGAAAGGTACTAAGGACAGGTAGCTTGACCTGTGGTTTCTGCTGTTTGCCTGGTTGGTCTCCTGCCAATTCACTCGCACCAGATTGAAAGAATTATAAATTCACATAGCGCCAGCCTCGCTGCCACGCTGAACAAGTTTTCTTGTTGGGTTAGAAATGCAACCCCCTGCGAGCACATGTATGTCGGCTCCTTTGCCTGACTGCGACTCTTTCCTGAGATCCCTCTTCTTCCCTCACGCAGTCGCCGAGACCTTGTTTCCCCTAAAAAAAAGACGATGGAATTTCATCCCTCTCCCAATTCAAGTGCTAACGGAACTTACTTTCTCATTTTAATCTTCCCCTCAGCTATTCCAGCCGTCCATATACCAAACTCTTATGAAGAAGGAAGAAAGTACATTACTGTTCACGCAAAACAAATGATATAATCAAAACGCATCTCATCTGTACTCAAAATTGCACCACGTTTCAGCAGAAAGAGAACCTGGACCAAAGCCCACTGCAAAGAAGGATTTGGGAAAATTGAACAGCACAGAAGGCAGGAGAGCTCACACCCATGCGGACTAACCCGTGGCCTCCCCGCCCCTGCTAATTCCCCTCCCCCGCCCCGCTTGAAGGAGCCTGTCTGGAAGCATGAAGGGAGCGAGAGATGGCAAAGCAGCGAGACAGGACGCACTGCACTGTGATTCAGGCCTAGCTGCCGATGGGAAACCGGCCAAGGCTACACAAGTGACGAGTTATGCAGAAACATTTAAACAATGAAAAGGAGTCCGGCTGTCCTAGTCAGAGGGCAGATTTTAAAATATGTGTGTGTTTAAAATCGAATCCATTCCGAGCACTTTCAGCAGCTGGAACCTTAGTGGATTAATCAAATGGGTAGATGCGGGCTCTGTTTATCCTAAACAGGGACACGCGGAAGGGAAGAAAGATTAATCTGATAAAGGCGTCACTGTTTCTAATCAGACTGATGGGAAAACGCGGCGTGGGTGAATTATCGTCAAGTGATGGACTGCCGCGAAGCCGAAGCAATCAAACAGATAGCTCTAAAAATGCCCGCGGAAGCTTCCGTCAACACGGCGGTGCTCCTGGACCCGTCCTGGCCTTCCTTCCGAAGAGCGGAGGCACTTTGTCACATTTGGTGAGATGCAATCTTAACAGGAGAGCTTCAGCGAACGCTGCCACCCTTCACTTACCAAAATTAAACACGAGACCATCGCTTCCTTTCCGAGACGAGGGCGTGACATTTTGATAATGTTTTCAGTTCGCAAAAATAGTTAAAATCCAAAAGCAGAGTTACTGAGCATTAAAAAAAAAAAAAAATTTCCATCCCGGATTTGTGTTTGCTCACGGGGCACTCTTTTTAATTAAAAGTAATGCGAAACATTTGTTACTCATCCTTGTCTTCCTTATAAATAATTTAGCAAGTGATTATTTTGTCTTTGGAAAAGAAGATAATTGTCTGTAAATTATTATGATTGACTAGAATAAAGTCAAGCTGTTTTCATAATTGGTAGAGAAGAGCAAGTAATTCCTGTTGGGGTATTTTGTTTTATCACTCTGCTTTTGTCTGATTACGTAAAAATTTCAAAAAATAAGGATACAAAGACATATCTCCCAGAAAGGTTTTTATAATCTTACTACCCAGTGATAACTACCACTCAAATTTTTGCAATGTGCAAATGTATGTATACATACGTAACACAGAAGTTCATGCAAGTGTTTTTTATAAAAGCGAACACACTATATAACGTGTGTGTGTACACACATGTACAGATATTTGAATGGAATTAAACTACACAGGTCCTTGCCTTCTCTCCTTAGAAATACATTATTTTTTTTTCAAATTAAGGATCTATGTCTCATTATTTATTTAACTCAGCATACACAGGGTGGGGCAAAATGGGGTTACAGTTGTGAATATGTAAAACACAGAGATTACTCTGTGTAATTAAACTCTATATAATTAATAATATTAATTATATTATTTTCAATATGGACAACAGTAAACCTACATTTGCCTCATCTTGTATTATGGAGTATAATTTGTTTTCAATATATTCTGCATTACAAACAGAATATACCTTTGAATTAAAAATCGAAGTCACACACAAATAGGAAGGATTTTACTCAGACGGTTGCATTCGGAGTGAGAAATACCGCTCCGTGGTACCCAGTGGGTACCGATACTTCATAAACCTCTGAAACCGCAATTCCACTTGGCGGCATGTAGGGATGTTTCACGTTTCCCTCCCTGCACTCCTTTGCAGTCGCTGGAAGGTAGACAGTGGGGTCTGCATTCAACACAGTGACTTTGGCACCCATGTATTCAGAGTCACAGGCGAGGGACAGGAGACGCTGAGGCTGAATCTAAGGAACAGACGCTGCTTCACCCTCTTCCGCCTTCCCAGCCCCCAGAGCGCGCCCTTGGCTCTGGGGGTGGAGGGATACGATCCTCACGGGCCTGATTCCTCATTTCTGCCCCCTTTCCTCAGCCGCAGTCTTCCGGCCGGCCGTTCCCATCCCACCCCTCCTCTGATCTGGCTGAAAATGCCGGAGTACTTCCCCGAAGTCTCACTCGGATTGGAACCACGCCTCTACTTTTAAACACCTTTGCAATTACATCCAGAACTCAGTGAGAGCTTATTCTGTGGTTTTGAATTTTAACGTAGGTCTTTTTTTCTTCTCTATACTGTAAACTTTGGTGATCAGAGACCCCAGGCACTGTGTATTTGGAATTCCATAGAGACACCTGGGACTTCAAATAATACCTCTTTTGAAAATAGTATTGTAACCTACCTGTATCAATGCAGTATTGAGAAATGTTTTAGCTTTTAGACACCATCAATATTTTTTCATTGCATTGTGTAAACTATTGATTTCTTATATGAATTAACGTGAAGACAAGGTACTTCGGATTTTTGTTAGTTCTACTTAACATATCCTTGAGTCCATTTAGGAGATTTGAAAAACAAAACCCGTGACTCTCAACTAGACTAGAGGGAAAGAAGCGTCTGGTTTTGTGATGCGTTGATATTGTAACACGGCTTTTAAAATAAGTCAAGTCAATCCCATTTGATGTTTTTGTTACCTAAAATACTTTGTGAAGTACTTAGCAAAAATGCATACCTTTATAAAATTTGTCCAGCTTTTGAATACGATTTTCCATACGTGGAGAAGAGATCAAATGATGGTAAGACGGTTTGGAAATCCTAGAAGGGAAAAGAGCAAAGACGTGGTAATCATCTTCGTGTACAATTGGCCTCCCACCCGGGAGACAGGCCGCTGTGCCTTCGGGGGGAGGGGGGGCTGCTGATGAGCTCGGGAGAAACTCCCGCACGACCGGCCTGCGGTGCCACTTTTTAAATGAGGGGCTGGGGGCTGCTTTTCTGAAAAATAACCTCATGCAGACAGAACGCTGAGGAGGGTAATTCTGAATCCAGCCAGAGCCTCTGATACCAGAGCCCTCCGGTCTGCTGCGAGCCGGTCCAGACAAACAGAAATAATCCACTTGGGTTATATGCCCTCCTTGGGGCAGCTTAGGAGTCTTTGTGAGGCTCTTGGAGCTGGAATGCAGCTTTCACGCCCCAATCAAAGTGACGACAAGCACGTTTCCTGGGCCACTGGCCCCTCCGTGTGAGATTACTCTGGGGTGGTAGCTGCGGTGTGTGTCTGGTTATTTAAGGCTTCGGTATACATAGTCCCATTTTTATTCAGTGTGGGTGCATCTAAATTCTAAAGTTATACACGACTTTCTATTGATTTTCTTTACATTTTTATATATCTTTCTTCTGACTAGATTCGTCTGTCTTTCTCTTACTCAGTTCCTGCTCCTCCTCCATCCTCACAGCCTTGGCTGCAAAGGCGTGGATGGGAAGTAGCAGGCCAGACAGTAGACTCATCGTAGTGCGGTGTTTAGGTCTTGTTGCCGTAATAAAAGGGGGACTAGACACAGAGAAATATCGAAGGAACAGATCTAGACATAGAGATGTTACCAGTGACCCTCATTACTCAGATTTCCCATGTGCAAGTTCACCTACTTGCTCCAATGTACTTGCATCTCCAAATCAATACTCACAGAGCTTGCACGGTCATTTATAGATATGAGGACAGTGGCAAAAAATTGGGTCACCTGACACACACATTTCCAGCCTGTAAGGCCTGCTTTCTCGGCCCTAGCTAGCCGAGATACCTAACATTTTTCACACTTGAGTTCTCCGAGTTGGCAGTTTCACTGTTTAACTCGGGCCCCGAGCACAGCACTGAAGTGCTGTCTGCCTGTGTCTCAAACAGAAGGAGGCCCCCACATGCCTCCTAAAGAACGTGCACGTGTTAGACAGGCTTCCTCTGGGCAGGAGTTAACGTGCTGTCAACAACAAGTTCCATGGTAACCAATGACACGTATTAAATAAAGGGTCTTCAAACACCAACATGTACAAAACGATGTTATGTGTTGATCAGCAGACCAGCAGTTTGCAGGAACCCAAGCCTACAGTTCCCCTAGGAGCGGTGCTCAGCAGGCACTCAGTCCGTGCTCGTAGTGACGACACAGAAGATGGACTACTGCGAACACGCGAGTCAGCGGCGCACCCACAGCAGGGTCGAGAGAGATCGCGCCCTTCTGCTGCATAAGCTTGGACATTCTGCCAGATTAGAGCAGGCACCGCCTCTTAGGGCACAAGCAACACAGAACAGACGGACGAACGAGTGAGAACATGGGTACATGAGATGAACTGACAGATTCAAGATACTGTTTGCTACTCTTTGCAGGGCGGGTAGTAAATAGCTCTTCGTGAACACTGACTAGGTACAGATAATGACTAGAAATTTTCACTTTATGAAACATAGGTTTCTCTAAAAGAAGATAAAGTATACATGAAGCTTTAATAAATAGAATTCTCATAACCCTATACTAAACCTAAATTTTCATGTTATCATTGGGAATTATCATGTTTAATTTCTTTCTGCATTTTAAAGAATTGGGTTTTAATCTTCCTTCCTCTCTCCCTCCCTCCCTCCCCTCCTCCCTCCCTTCCTTCCTGAAAGTATCAATTGAGTGCCTGCTTATGCCAAGCACTGTTTTGGGATACAGCAATAAATAATTTAGGCAAAAACTGTCTTCATGGAAGTTAAATTACCAGTGAGCAGAGACAGACAAGAAGCAAATGAATGTCCAACAATAGTAAGTGTTATGAAGAAGAATAAGGCAGGGTAGAGGGGAAGGGCTGAGGAATCGGGGAAAAGGCTTGCAATTTCCAACCAGGTGGTCAGGAGGGGCTGCTGTGACGTGATGTGGGCACTGACTTAACTCAGGAGGGGTTGTCACCATGCAAACTACAACCGTAACTACAGTCAACAGCTTTATCATTGAACCTCTCATGCCACTTCAAGTAGTAAAACCCCACAAATTTACCCCCTAAATGATTGATTTATCTGCTCTGAAAAATTTGGAGGCAAACCTCTTCCTACAACTGGAACCTGTTAGTGCATTTGGCTCTTGCCTTAAGGACACAGGGAAGCATCAAGCAAGAAGCATCATCCCTCCTCTGCAGGGAGCATGGGTGGGCCACAGTGGCCTTGCTGTCCGTGAGTAGAGCTCCATTCATCCCACCTCTTCAACAGGCACCGTCACACCCTGATGTCATGGTCACCACACACGTGCAGGGACACCACCCCGGCCGAGGAGGAGGAGGTTCAGCGAGTGATGAGGTCTACCCCATAATCTCTCATTCCTACCAGGGATTTTGCACCCTTTAAGCAGCATGGCCCGAGAGAGACATTTGGAGAAAGAAAGAGGAGTGTTAACAGTGGTTGTCTGTTCTTTCACTGGTACCACAAACGGTATCTAACGTCAAAACATGATGAGCCAGAAAAAAGGTCCACCACCTGTGGCATTGCTCTGGGCGAGCGGCAGCCGCGAGGCTTTTCTCGTTCAGACAGCAGAGACCAGCCTTGTGCAGGCTGGGCTTGCTTTCAGCAACTGAAGGATCCTGGGAGAAAGAGCGAGCTTCCTCTAACAGAGGCACTGACGCAACCCACGTGTCCTCCACTCTTCTCCCAACCGTCTACGTCTAAAGTTTTGTGACGGGGTGTATTATCATTTCTTGGTTGGCTGGAAGGGAGGCCTTGACATTCCAGGTCTTGTTCTCTTTCTAATTACCGCCTGAAGAAGCAAAGATCCTGGAGCGAAACCCTGGATGATTTAAAAGGCATAGCTAACTAAAGTGAAGGACAATTTTCTACGTATTTTAATGGCTTTGAAAGGGTGAATCTTACCCTTGGAATGGACTAGTCATCAGACCTTATAATAAACAGTAATATCGGCTGCCTTCCTGAAAGTCTGTGTTTCCCCTGTAGTCTATCATTTTCATCAAACGCTGTTTTCTACTTGTTGGTTTATTTCTTCGCTGTGAAAATATGTATGATAATGTTTGGTATAAAAATCAAGAAATTAGTCTCGCAGCAGGGAGCCTGCTAACGACACCATTTTAATCGTATCCTTCAAGTGCTGGCAGAAAACATATTAATTGCAGTTTAATTTATGCAACAAATATTTCATTTTAATTATGCTTAATTTTTGTCAAGCTATAAGAATGTCAATAGTTCTGACAAGTGTTTTCTTACAAGTTTTTTTTTAGGTGAAAGAATTAAAATCAAACGCTGTTTCTGAAAGGAATTATGAAAGATTTCTAATTACTGCTTATGTTTTTGAAAAATTGCTAATCTAGTAGCCTCAAAATAACATCTGGGAACGTGTGAACTTGAAGCTTTATTACTCAATGTTTATAATTCTTAATAATATACATGCATCATTAACATGATGGAATCCTCACAGGAAGGGTTTTTTTTTTTTTGTAATTATAGGATATATCAGTAACTGTCATTGAATGGTGAATTTCCTCTGTAGAAATGATTTTGTTCATTCTGCTCAGGAAAACTAACACAAGAATAAGTGAAACTGATTGCTGCTGATACACTGAACTGAGGAAAAGAATATTAACTGTGAACAGAAGTGGAAAGAAAAATGTCAAAGCACCAAAGCTGAACAGGAGTAATTACTCTCAGCAAAAATGTATTAAGTTCCTCCTAGGTGCGAATCCTTCCCAAACATGATGTCTCACGTAAGAAAGCTGCCTCCTCCTGGACCTGCTTCTCTCTCCAGATGTGCAGGATGCCTCTCTGCCCTGATGCCTCTGGTACCCAAGTTTCCCTTCTCCCAGCCCGGTCCAGTTCTGCTCTGTATCAGTGATTCCCTTACAGGTACCAACTCCCCACTGGAGGATCTGGCTCCTGGGGGTAGGGTTCCAGCCTTCGGTGCTTACCGGAGCCACCATCTGCCACCATCAGCCACCGTCAGATAGACTTGAGAATGGATAAAATGCTCTGGATGTTATGTTGTTTTTTTTTTTGAAATACCATTATTATTTCAAAACCCTCTTTAGAAAAGTTATTGTGCATAGACCTGTATTTGAAAACTATTCATTGGGAAGACTTCTAGTTTTAGGACGGCAGAGCAAGTAACTCCCTGCCTTATCCTCTCAGAAATGTCTACCCCCGACACAGAGAGGGTTATAAACATCTATGGAACCACATGTTCAGTAAAACCAAGAGACGGAGGCGAGTCCGCGCCCCAATTTGTGCGGCGAGCCAGCTGAGGGTACCGCGGCAGACCCGATGCCGTCCTATCCTGCTCTTCCTGCCAAAGCCCAGCACGCGCAGCTGCGGAGCTGAACCAGAAGATGAGAGACCACGGGGTCCCTGCACAGCAGGGCCTTATCTGAGAGAAGGGAGAGGTGGCTCCCGAGTGCGCACTTAGCATTGCCAATCCACGAACCTACTTTAGCTATGCGTGTGTTTTACTTGATAAAAAGTAAGTAAAAAAGAAACGATTAGTGCACCACAGTGTTTGCTATTCCTCTTAGATTTAAGTTTCCTTTCTTTTTCTGTAAACGATTAATTTCTTTTTATTGTATTTTCTCCATTACTATTTAGTTCCCTTATATATACATCAACAGTATGATGATCCCCCCGCCATCATCACACTATTGTCCGAGTCCATGAGTTCTTTTTCCTTTTTGCTCAATCCCTCCACCCCTTATCCTCCCCCCACTTAACTGTCTTCCTGCTCTTTATCTGAGTCTATGAAAAGCCACATTAAAACTCTACTTTATCCTGAATGTAATATGAATACGCTAGACTGAAATACTTATGA